TGGCTGGGCCACTGTGGGCAGTGATCCAGGCTGGAGGCTGTTCCTGCCCGCGCCACACCAAACCAGACAGCAGAAGCCTCTGCTCAGCTCCGAATGGATGGCGTTTTCCTTTCTAGTGGTTTTATTTAAAAGTCATGCCAGACATTTCACATCCTGTCACAGAAATTTTGATGGATGGCCATCTGGTCAGCCGGAAGTGAGCAACACTGCTGACTAGGCATCGATACCGGCTGAGCTTACTAAGCCTCCATGGGGCGTTGGTAACATGTGGCGCCATGTTGGTGTGTGCTCTGGGCAGAGGTGCAGCGTGAAATTTGGTAGGATCAGACCTAAAGGCACTAAGGTGGTGTCTCAGTTCAGAAGGGAAAGGTAGAAGCCAACAAGACGTGCCAGGTAGGAGCTCCCTGCTGGCACGAGGGGCCGACCGTGGAGTGGCTCTGCGTCCCTGTGTCCTGTCCTGTAAAACACAGCTGGCTGGCTCCCAGACGGTTTCAGATTGAACTCTTTGAATCAAACCCCAGTTTCTTATGGGCTCATTATCATAAATTAAACTTCTAGGAAAATAACTTCTAACAATTGGAGTGCTCTAAAAATTATCACAAAATAAAATGAAATACACAGATATATTTTACAAATAATAACACACAAACCTAACACTTGAGCCTAAATTCTTTGGGTGGATAAAGGAGATGGAATTTGCTTGAATTAGACTTCATGAGGCTTTCAAAAATAGTCTGCAAAGGTGTGAACTGTTCTTTCTTTCCCGGCGTCTTTCCCTGTAGCAAGCACAGCCACCTCTCCTTGCTAAAGGGCCTTCTAAGTGTGATCAGGGTCATCTGCCTTGAAGGGGGTCACTGCTGATGGGATACGCCCTGGGAGTGGTGGCTGCTGGGAATGGGCAGTAGCCATGATGTCTTCGAACGTGGCAGCCCTGTCTAAGGCTCTGGATCCTGGGCTGTGGAGAACTCCAGAGGTTCACAGAGTCCTTTGAAATGATAAGCAAATGTTTGATTGTGACCTTCCTCTGGGAGGAGCATGCGCAGTGTTCACCGGATTCTCCCCAGGTGTCGGAGCCGCTCTGGACACTCCCTTAAGTCCTGAGCAAGAGATACTGAACAATTATTGTGACCCACCATAACTTGGGCTTTACCTCCACTGGGTAATGAGGCTGGCTCCAGGAGTAGGCGTCACCTGGTGGGGTTGAGTTTCAACTGTTCCTTTGTGATCCTACCCCTTGCCTCATTTGAATGGCTTCTCCCCAGTGAAACTGGGTTCAAGATGTGCTCCTTCCTCTTTCTCGCCCACCTTGCCTCCTCTGTGGGACCTGGGTCAGAGGAGCTGTCACAGAACCCCAAGAAAAAGGTATTTCTCTGTCTTTGTGTGATGATTTTGTGCCAGCCCAGTGCACCTGGAGTGACCCTGACTGGTTTAGTTGTGTGTCAAACACCCAGATGTTAAGCACCACTAGTGTGTATTCAAATTTCTTCATCCTGATACATCTCCTGAAAAGTRAAAGGTATGTGTAGGTCAGGCCACGGGTGAGGTTGAGTGTGTTTCACGCACATCCTCATGAGCACTGATGCACATGCCCGTGGTGCACTCGTGTGCAGTATGCATGTACATGCCCTCTGTCCCACACACATGCATGCATGTGGCACATGGACATCTCAGAGCCAGCACCCTGGCCTCGCTCCTAGTTCCCACTCCACAGAATTCCAGCACAACTTTGCTGTGGATTCAAATCCACCATCTCCACTCTGGCATGCTCAGTTCCCTGGGGCTTACTCCCCTCCCCAGCCCCGTTTTAGGGATGGCCTGTGTGTGAGAAGGAGCATGGAATCCAGAGCCCCACAGGCCTGGATCCTTATCCCAACCCACCACTAACTCTTAGCACGTGAACTTGAGCAAGGTTCTTAACTGCTTTTGTTTCTTCCTGGGTAAAGTCAGAAGAGTGACCCTGCCCCACAGGATTGCTAGCACAATGAGATGGGAAAATGAAAGAAAAGGAGCCTGCGTCTGGCACCGGCCACGCCAGGGCCCTGCAAACCCCTGAGCCCAGCACCTTTGCTGTCAACTCTGCCCTCCTGAGGCTCTAGCTGGTCTTCTGGCCTCTGCTGGGCCCAGGAGATGTTTGGGAAGTCTTGGGGAATCCGGTGTTTGGAGGCCAGTAGCCCTGGGAGGGGGTGGGAGACGGTCCGCTCTCTTGCTGTTGGGGGAGCTCTGGGTTCGAGTTCCGCCTTCTTCAGGTGTCTGTGGGATCAGCTGAGGTGGGGAAGAGAAACCAGCGGAGCAGGGTGGGAGCGAGTGTGCTTCGGCCTTCTTTAGAGGAGCAGCCTCTTAACCCGAGGCTCTAGATACCAAGAGCCAGGAGGCACCTAAGTGTTGTGGGTGTGCTTGTCGCGTTCCTGTGTGTTGACAGCCCAAAAGATCCACGGAAAGCAAAAGCCTGCAGACCATTGTTTTGGGGTCAGAGGGAGAAAGGGGTGGGGAAGAGTCCTGGGGGAGGCGGAGCAGGGGTGCGGCTGGGCCCACCCCCGCTGCTGGCGGCCGCTCCTGGTTGGGGCGGCTCCGGGATCCGAGCGCAGCGCCTGCCACCCCGCGGCCGTGCGCGGGAACTGCAGCCGCGGGTGCGGGCCTCCCTGCAGCCCGCCAGCACCCTGAGGCCTGCACTGGGCCGCTGCCCTCGGTCCTGCCTGCCCCGAGGTCCGGGAAGAGCAGCCGGCGCGGAGGCCTCAGCCGAGTAGACCCCTGGGGGCTGTGTCAAGACACCTGGGCCCACCCGGGCGGGTCGGCGCGGAGGGTGGAGACCAGGAAGGGGCCGTCGGAGGACCCTTCAGAACTGGTCCGGTGTGTGACAGCACAGGGCAGGAGTCGAACCAGGCCCGTCAGCCAGCAGCAGGGGAACCAGCACCCTCACTTCTGGTCTGAAGACCCCGGGAGAACTCCACTTGCCAGAAACCTTGAGTCCTTGAGATGGAATCCTTTATTGGTATCTGGTTGCAGCTGCAGAGAGATTATTCTAAATCCATCAGTTCCCTTCTTCTCTAACCYGCCTTGGGCCACCCATGTTGAGTCCTGAACTTGGCTTTTTCTTTTCAAGCTCTCTGCTGCCTGATGCGGCAAACACTCCCCACAGTTCTCCTGCCCATCATATTCCCCAGAAAACTCCATTCACACAGCCGCCGTGTCCGAAAGGCTTTCCTTCACAGGTAACTACTAGTGGCCACTGTGGGGCCTGTGCTGCTTACCACTCACAGGGAGGTCACTCCTGACCACGGATCTAACCTGCCAGTCCGCCACTCTCAGGTCTCCTCCTCCTGGGGTTCTGTTTCCTGAAAACAATCTGGCACCAAATGCCAATTAGCCAGGATTCAGTCATGGAAACAGAAAAGTTCCGTTAGTTCAAGCAGGATGGATTTGGTACAGGGGGTTTGGTGTTTACAGAATCATTGCAAGTGAAGGTCCAGAAAAACATCTTTAGATTTCAAGATGCCAAGAGTTTACAGAAATCTCCAGAACTCAGTGCCCAATGACTTGAATGGCCTGCGGCCTGGGAATGGAGGGGGGCAGGAGAGCTGGCAGAGTCGCAGGTGTGTGCTCCACACATAGCCGTCACCATCCTCACTGTGGCACTTTGCAAGTAATGGTCTCTCCTCGTGTTGAGGAGATTCCATGTGGGTTCCTCTCACTGGTGGAATCAAAAGTGGGCCATTGCTATAGGTAGAATTTGAGAAATGTGGTCCCCAAGCTCCACCTCTGCAGTCCCAGTCCACACTGAGGGCGTCAAGGATTCAAGGCACAATATCTGACATGCACTTTTAATACAGGAGGTAATAATAGGACTTCATTCCTAAGGCTGTTGTGAAGCTAAAATTAACATGTGTGAAGTCTTTGCACAGGGCACCGCATCTGGGAAACCCTCAATAATGGCTAGCTTACAAAAAAAAAAAATAATAAGTAGTAAAAACTGACATTAGACTGCGCCTTATTCTCATCTCTAGCCCCTGCAAGAATGCTGGTTGTTTCTGGACTGTCTGGTCCAATAGCCAGCCTTGGCAAGGACCTGTTCTGTGCCACTCCTGGCCTGCGTGGCTGTGGGATCATGAGTCTGCCTCATTCGGGCTCAGAATCAGGGCTGAGCAGAGATTCTGGAGAAAGGCCGGGTTCTCAGGAGAAGCCTGACGCCCACCGACATGGTGCCTACCGACATTGGGTTCCCTGTGCGGGCAGGTTTGAGGATTTCATCTCAGATGGTCAGCGCCTCATGAAAGCACAGGTCCCTAGCTTGACTTGGCAGCTCTGTGCCAATGGAGTCAGTTCCTGGGGTTGAGTCTCTGAAGCCTTATGCTCAGACACCCCCTGCAGCCAGGAAGAATCAGGGCACAGCTGAAATCCAAAAGGAAAAGTCAGGCTGGAGTCTGTGAGGAGTGTTTCCTAATCTGTCTCCTGCCCCAAATAACTCTGTCCTTTCCCCTCAACTGTAGTGACAGGTTTTCTTCCCTAGTAGCAGATGCCGCTGAGACTTAAACTGGGTCACAGAGGGCAGCGATGGCTGACACAGGCCCTCGGGTCATGTCCTCCCCTGATCTGACTCCCCTGCCCTCCTGGCCTGGAGCTCAGAGAACAGACCCCACAGGTACTGAGCTCCCAGGGCACCTGAGCAGGGGTCCTGCTCCCAGGAACCGCAGAGTGGAGACATTCTGTGCCACTGTCTGAAGGTGTGTGGAGCCTGTCCCTGGGCTGAGAGCAGAGGGGCAGCCATGGGGCAGGGGTAGAGCATAAATCCCAAAGTCAAAAAACCTAATTTCCGCCTGATTTCAAATTCCAGTCCACTGAGGTAGAACAGGATACGTGTCCACCCAGAATCATCCATCTGGGAAGGGCCCTGCCAGAGCATGACCTCGCCCCCAGCCACTTCCTGCCGCACCTCAGCCCTCCTCTTCCAGGACACCCAGTGTTCCGCATTGTCCTGAGGTCTCTGTCTCTCTCTCCCCCCACAGGTTCTTTCAAAGCATGGCTTCAACCAGATCACCACTGACATCCGGGAGGGACAGACGTTCTACTATGCGGAAGACTACCACCARCAGTACCTAAGCAAGAACCCGAATGGCTACTGTGGCCTTGGGGGCACCGGGGTTTCCTGTCCATTGGGTATCAAAAAGTGATTTCTCCCTTCCTGGTGGATCCCAGGGGTTCCAACAAAAATCCCTTCACTGAATAGGGTCATGCCTCTGTGATTCACATTAGTGGCTTTCTGAAGTGCACGTAGCGTAGCGCAAAAGCATGGTACCAAAATCCAGTTTTTAATTGAGGTTTAATTCACAGGATGTGAAATGGCAAGTTGATAAAACATAATTTGTCCAGGAAGTTAGGGTGGAAGTAAGTTATCTGTGAGATTTTCTGGGTCGTTTGGGATCTCAGTGGAGATGATGAACACCCTCAGACCCTGGGTCCACCCTTTCTGGGCACCTGCCATGGGAGACAAGGGGTGAAGCTGGGAGATAGCTGGACAGGGCTCAGGGAGCTGGGAATCCTTGATCTGTGTCTGTGACTCCTCACACGCCCTCCTGTCCCCCAGTGCCTTACAGTTTGCAAACATTTACAGCCTCAATAGCTCACTCCTGAAATGCTTTGCTCTGCAGAACCGAGACAAGTACAGGAGGCCTTCTCTCACTCCTCAGCTGTCTTTGTGCAGAGAAAGATGTGCGTTAGCTTGATGAGCTTAATGCTTTGCTTACAGCTATGAGAAACGCTTGTTCTAATAAAAATCTACAAGTTCACTGATACCAACTGCCCTGTGCCTCGTCCATCTTTCCCCTGTTTAGGAGGATATTTGTAAGCACTTCGAAATAGATTAACAAGCTGTAAGAGAGCTCTGAGATAAGATGCCTCATAATCATTTGCTCCCAAATGGAAAATATTATGATTGAAATTTTTGGAAAATGTGCCCACCTCCAGCTTCTTGCAACTGCAGTAGTAATAGCTGCTTCTCAGGTGCCTGTCACATCCATCATGCCAGGGACACTAGGGCTGGAGAGCAGACACCTCAGTCCCTGCCTTGCAGAACCTTCTGTCTGGACAAGGAGTTGGGGCCACAGGCTGTGAACATGTTGACAAGTGGATCAGTAAGTGGATTTCAGGTCCTGAGAGAAGTCATGAAGACGAGAGGAATGAGCCGGGAGCTGGGCCTGGGCGTGGGTTCAGGGCCGTCTCTGCTGGGCAGTGAGCTTGGGAGCAGAATGTCCCGAGCCCTGTGGTGGCCTGCAGGCAGCAGCTGGCCAAGAGCACTCACGGGGCAGTCGTACCTGTGACTGTTAGCACCCTCTTCTGTGCACACTTTAGCTGCTTGGAGGAAAGGCTTTCCAAACAGAAGGGCCTGGGAGTACAAATGGCCCAGGCCAGGGAGGAGTGAAGAAAGAAAGGTCAGTGGGCTCAGGTGATGTGCAGGAGGAGGGTCCCAACGAGAGCTCAGCGGCGCCTAGACCTAGAGGACCTTCTCAGGACGCAGGCTCGAGCTCTTCGTTGATTTGAGCAGCTGCTGCAGAGATTCAAGCACTTCTTCAGGTGATGGAATTGGTGGTGGTGCTATTACTTGTGAAAGAGCAGGTGTGGGGTGAGGAGGAGTCGATGGATCACTCAGCTTAGGCCACACAAAGTTGAAACACTTCTTGGCATCCTCATGGAGACAGGGAGGAAGGAAGCTTGTGATTCGGGTCTAGAACCTAGAAGGAATCTAAAATGAGAAATCTGTGTCATCAGCCTAGAAATGGCATTTGAATCCAGGGAGCCTGTAGAGATCATTTAGGGAGGGAATGGAGAGCCAGAGGGAGTCTGAGCATTGAGTGCAGGGCCCTAAGGCATCCTGGGTCTGGTCACAGGAGGAACAAAAGAACTTGGAACATTGCAGCTGAGACTGGCCTTGGAGGAAGTTGCTGTCCCAGGGCAATGTAGGCGTGTGTTCCATCGAAGTCTGCAGCAGACCTTAGACTGTCGGAGACCAGCTCCAACAGGGGGTCTCAGGAGACGAACGGATGGTGAGGAGTCGGCGAAAGAGGGTGGAGAAACAACACAGACACCAAAGTGAAGGTGCTGATCCCAATCTTTACTTGTGAAGTTGATCATATATACTTTTCATTTTGGCAGGCTCACAGTACTTTGTGGTTACAAAACAGGAATCATTATTCAAAGAAACAAAATATTACTTAGCTACAATTAGAATAGAAGAATGTATCCTGGCTTATGCATAAGCAAGCATTTGTACTTTCAGTTCGCGTTTTGCTTTGAGCTGTTTCTGCTTAGTTAACTTTTAATAATAGTTAGAAATGTCCCAAACTATTGGCCTATACCTTGRCTATTCTTTCTTGACTTACTGACTGGAACCGGTGCCATGGTTAYRGCAAGTGGTTGACTTGTTATTAATTTTAATCAAACAAGAGTAAGAGCACAAACCATTGTGTACAGGAACAAGAACAAGTTGCCCAGTACTAAGCACTAATCTGTCTTCTTAACATTAATTTTTCTTCTCTAGATTTTAATTTAATTTCTCAAAAACTTCCTTGACAGGAATACAGGGAGTTTTTCATTAGACATTAACAATTTACGCTCCACAGCTGAATCATTGCATTTAGAGCAAACAGATCTTCTATTCTTTAGAAGTAGTTGCATTAATTGGGAAAGTCCTGTTTTTTCCTTCATACTTAATGGTCCTATGAGAAATCGCAACTATACTTATTAAAGGAATACAAAATCAAACCAGCTCATTCCCAGAAACATACTGCGCTCCTCCAGAGGAAGGACGCCTGGCGCCATCCACCTCAGTAGGGCCTTGCCATTGCCTGAGTCAGGGGAGGGGCGCAGCATTAGACCAATGACCATGGTCAGAACAAAGCAAGAAAGTACGTAATAAGGAGGCCAGGTCCTTTGAGCAAGGACCTCAAATTCAGGGAATCTTTCCTCAGCATTTTGCAGAAGGAACTGGGATCTTCTACAAAATGATTCCAGAAATGCACTGTCCAGGCCTTCTCAGAATTGTGGTGGATTCTCTAAGCCGATGCTGGTCTTGGGAAACCGCCATGTCACCAGGGCCCACTGGTCAGAGTGGGGTGGGAGATGGGTCTTGTTCCAAGTCTGTCTCACACAGACCAGGGAGTCTGAATCACAGGACGGAAGGTGTCTTGCCACTCCCAGACTGCATCTGTGTGTCCGCCAAGTTCCAGCTTCTGCGAACTTGCCACTTTAACACCTACCCGACATGCATGTGCTGGACACGCCTGGTTCTGGACAACCCAGTCACCCACCTGCATCTCCGTGCCTTGACCCCTCACCCCACTGCTCCTTGGAGGAGTCCTTCTCCTGAGGGTGTTTCCAAAGAAAACAAACCAGCCCAGAGCTCACATCCCAGCCACCCACTCCACTGGGCTCTCACGCTCTTGGCTACTGTCTACCTGACCTCATCACCCTGGGCCAGCCCTGAGCCCCAGAGCCCACTGAAATTATTCACACTAGACAATCTAAAGCTGCTTAGCCTGCTTATCCCAACTCATTCAATCCTTCCTGCAGAAACTGCAAGATAGGTTTGTTTTCTTTTTTGTTATTGTTGTTGTTATTGAGGATTGAACTCAGGACACTTAACCACTGAGCCACATCCCCAGCCCTTTTAATATTTTATTTAAAGATGGGGTCTTGTTAAGTTGCTCAATCACAGGAGACCACAGGTGAGGACTCACCTGACACTCACGCTCCAGATTTCAGCCATGTGATCCTGAGAGCTGGGGAGGTGCTGGGTATCTAAACCCCTTCTGTCATGTGGTACGTGTGGGTGATGGTAATGGGACATCCAGTGTGGCTATCAGTGACAGCAGCTGGAAGTCCTCAGCCCAGGGTGATCAGGCACATGCTAAGCCCGGAAATGTGCTAATTTATAGAGCAGATTTTACCAGACACAGACTGACCTGCTCCTCAATCTCTTTCTCTCCTTTTTAGGGGACTGGCTGGTTTGGTCCCATCTGTCTGGGCCTTGATGAGGATAACTGTCCTTGTTCCCTGGTTTCAGGACCATCAGTCTCTGAACCCCAGCCCAGAGGGCGCCTGGAGCAGTGCGGGCAGAGACAGCCGGCGGACGTCCTTGGGACGTCCTTGGGAGGCTCCTTCTTCATGCTGCGCAGAACCACGGCACAGGCCCAGGGCCCGCCCTTAGGCCTCCGTCCCAGATGGAATTAATGGAATTGGATTGTGTCTTTGTCATCTTGTGCTCACAGACCCTAGCTGGCTTGTGACAAGAAAGAATTAGGGCATAGCTCAAACACAAAAGTGGAAAAAGAAGCGGGCGAAAGCCCCCAGGGAGGACTCTCCATCTCCTTATCTGTCTGCCGTCCCAAATAGCTCTCTCTCCTCCCCCATTTGTGTTTATGTGTCACGTTTCCTTCTCTTGCAGCAGATGCCACTGGGCTGACTGTCTGAACTGGGTCAGAGAGTGGTGGTGCCTCTACACAGTCCCTCCGGCGGTGTCTTCCTGTGTCCTCACTCCCCCTCCAGTTCCCCAGCCTGCTTTCCGTGGCATCTCAGGGTGGTCCCTGTCCCCAGAACCACAGGGACTCGGGGAGTTTCCTGCCACTCCAGGACCTCAGTGCTCGTAGCTGGGAGACAGGAAGGCATCCTTGACTGTCCTCAACCCTTGGCTTCTCCAGGGTCCCTAGCTTCTCGTTTCATCTCACTGATAAATGATTTCAGAGAACTCTCACCCACTTGCCACAGCAGCCAGGTAACCACACTGCCTTCTGGACAGCGCCCTGCCTGCCCTGGGGCCTGTTTCCCACAGCCAGGCCACCCATGGTGTAGTGTGGCAGCAATGCTGCACTGGGTGGAGAATCAAATCAGCCATGTTTCAAACTCCATGGAACAGAGACCAAAGAAATCAGTGGATTGCCCAACGTAACCCAGCAAAGGGCAGAGTCCAGGGTCACACTCCCACTGACCATTCCTACTCCAGTGCACACTGTAGTCTACCTTTTGCTGCTTCATTTAAAGCATGCACTACTGAGAGTCTAGCTCTTTTCTTGATGTCCTCTGTTAAGAATCTAGGTCCAGGGCTGGGGTTGTAGCTCAGCGGTAGAGTGCTTGCCTTGTAAGCATGAGGTACTGGGTTCGATCCTTAGCACCCACATAAAAAAATAAACAAAAATAAAGATATTGTGTCCATCTATAACTAAAAAAAAAAAAAAAAGAATCTAGGTCCAAATTTTTCCTTGAGATGCCCTTCAAAAGAATAGATATGGCATGCGGGTGACCAGTGTTTGAGAGGGGAAATTATGTTACACAAAAGATTACCATCAGGAATATTGAAGCAAAAATTCTGATAGGTCCCATGGACTTAGGGGTCAGAGGCTTTGCCTTTCCAATCCGTGTTTAAAGATAATTGCTTGGTCTTCACCTCTGCATAGATGCCATGTTGGCAGACCAGTGTTCCACTGTGCAAGTGAAAAGCTGGATAAATGCTCTAAAATGACAGCACAGGACATCTGGGGTACAAATGAGGACCCGATGAATCGACATTTCAAAGAATCGGCACAGTTAGGTAACTGACATTACCAACAGGATTTGTTGTTCTTCCTCTCTCCTGGGGGACATCCAATTTGCTGATCCCCAAGCTGAAAATCAGACATGGTCCAGACACGTGAACCCTAACCACAGGGGCAGAGAGAAACCAGTTGTGTGGGTCTGGAGGAGACCCTGGGAATCTGAGAGGCTCCAAATGTAGATCCTGGAAAGCTAGGCTGATATCTTCTGAAAATCAGAGGAAAATATCTGTTTCCATGCCTACAGAATGAAGACCATCCGTGAGAGGGACCTGCCTCAAAATCACCAGTCCCCTCCTTCTCCAGACAGGTACCAGGCTAAAGCTGCCCAGAGTGGTAGGTGGAA